TGGATTTTGATATGTTAACTTTAACCAAGTTAAAAAACTATTCTTTCAATAGCATGATATTACATTTTTCATAAATAGGTGCAAAACCACACTGCGTTTTTCTCTCAATGAAGATAATCATGATTTTTCCCCCTTTTTGTCTATTACTGTCATAGATTTTCTGATGTTGAGTCATCCTGAGATACATCTTAGTCATATTTTTTAAAATGCACCATTCAATTTGGTTAGCTAATATTTTTTATTTAAAAAAATTGTTTTTGACTCTTTATTTATTTTTGAGAGAGAGTGCAAGTAGGGGAGGAACAGAGAGAGAGGGAGACAAAGAATCCAAAGCAGGCTCCAGGCCCTGAGCTGTCAGCACAGAGTCCAACACAGGGCGTGAACTCATGAACTGTGAGCTCATGACCCAAGCTGAAGTCGGATGCTTAACCAACTGAGCCATCCAGCTGCCCCTGGTTAGCTAATATTTTTAATGGGGAATATATATTCTTAAACAAAGTGGATTCACTTTTTTCTTCATATTCATCTGGCTTTGGAATTAAGGTTGTATTAGCCTTAAATTCCATTTTTTCAACTATTAAGACTGTCACCCTGGCTTTTTGGTTCATATTTGTCTGGTATGACAAACAGTTTTTTGGTAATAGTTGTTTTGTTTTTTTTTTTTGGTAGTAGTTTCATGTCGGTAACATTCACGTGCAATTCGTTTATTTAAAGTGTACAATTCATTGGTTTTTAGAGTTGTGCAACTAAAATCGCCATCAATTTTCATCACCACCCCTTCCCCTCCAAATCATCCAACTCTCCCATTTCCCCTCCACCTCTCAGCCCTAGGTAACCACTCAAATGTGTTCTTTATAGACTTGACTATCCTGGACATTTGATGTACATGGGATCCTATGATACGTGGTCTTTTGCGGCTGTTTTTACCTAGCATGTTTTCAAAGTTCATCGAACCTGTAGCATGTATTTGCACTTCTTTTCTTTTTATGACTGAATAATATTCCATTGTATGGACAGACCATAATTTACCCCTCCATCAATTGATGGATATTTGGAGTGTTTCCACCTTTTGGCTATTATGAACAATGCTATTACGAAGACTCGTGAATTTTTGTGTGGACTCGAGTTTTTGTGTGGACTTATATTTTCAGGTCCCTTCAGCAAAAGCTGAGGAGTGGAACTGCTGGGTCAAATAGTAACTGTTTGAGGAATTGCCAGACTGTAGCTAAACTATTTTACATTCCTAACAGCAGAATATGAAGCTTTCCATTTCTCCATATCCTCACCAACATTTTTTTTTATTATATCCATCCCATTATAGATACCCAGTGGTATCTCATTGTGGTTTTGGTTTGCATTTCTCTGCTGACTAATAATGCTAAGCATCTTAGTGTGTGTTTATTGACTATTTCTGTATCTTCTTTGGAGAAAAGTCTATTCACACCCTTGACCATTTAAAAAATTGTGTTCTCTTATTGAGTGGTGACATTTTTAAAAAATGTTTTGAATACAAGTTCTCATGTGATATATTATTTGCAAATATTTTCTCCCATTCTGGGGGTTGGTATGCCTTTCTTCATTCTTCAAGTTTTAAAACCTATGTCTTTATTTTTTTTGGAAATTTATTTAATTCTTAGAGAGAGAGTGAGAGAGAGAGAGAGAGAGAGAGGAGGGGCAGAAAGAGAGGGAGAGAGAGAGAGAACCCCAAGTAGGCTCCGCACTGTCAGTGCGGAGCCCCACGTGGGGCTCAAACTCACAAACCCATGAGATCATGACCTGAGCTGAAATCAAGAGTCGGGCACTTAACCGACTGAGCCACCCAGGCTCTACTCCCAGGGTGGGGCCCAATGTGGGGTGCAACAGGGGGCTTGAACTCATGATCCTGAGATTAAGAGTTGGCCACTTAACCAGCTGAGCCATCCAGGCACCACTGAAAGTATTTATTTTTTAACCCTTTAAGATTATTTTTTATATTTTGAGAGAGGGGAGAGAGAGAGAGAGAGAGAGAGAGAGAGAGAGAGAGAGAGAGTGTCTTAAGCAGGCTCCACACTCAGCACAGAGCCCGACATGGGGCTCGATCTCACAACCGTGAGATCATGACCTGAACTGAAGAGTCAGATGCTTAACCATCTGAGCCACCCAGGAGCCTCTATTTTTTAATCTTTTAAAAACTTTTATTTTTAAATCATTTTCAATATGAGGGTTTCTTTCAATTGGTGAGTTTAAGGCACATAACCATTTTCCACATGGTCAAATGCACTGGGAAACCTCTGTCAAGTTTATTTTCCTCCCTGGACATCTCCCTCCTGATAGCTTATGTCCTCTTGTTCCGACCTGGACTCAATACTGCAGGCCTGCTATAAGGCTGTTATCCTGCCACTATGTTGGGTTGGTGCCCTGATTCTTGGTATCTCTTGTCTTCCTTGATTTTCTCCCTTATCCTTTGTGGAGTACATCTTTCAGTATCCTTTTTAAAAAGCTCCACAGACAGTAAAGTCTGAAATTTTTATGTCTGAAAGTGTTTTAAACCTCACCTGTGAGGGGGCGCCTGGGTGGCTCAGTCGGTTAAGCATCTGACTTTGTCTCAGGTCATGATCTCGTGGTCCGTGGGTTTGAGCCCCGCTCTGTGCTGTCAGCACAGAGCCTGGAGCCTGCTTCAGATTCTGTGTCCACCCCCCCCCCCGCCCCTGCCTCCTCTCTTCACTCCTCCCCCACTCATGCTCTGTCTTGTCCTGTCTCTCAAAAATAAATAAATGTTTAAGAAAAATTGTTTTAAACCTCACATGTGAGGACAATTTGACCTGCAGAATTATAGGTTGAAAAGGCAAGTATCTCCTGAAATCCAAATCTTTTAATTCCACAGTGGCCAATGAGTCTGTTTAGCCATGGATATTCTGGTTAGCTAAGTAAATTTGGTTCCTGAGTTTCAGAGAGGAAATAGGAAACATTCACTTAGTAAAGGATGTCTCAAAAAGATTTACGGTCATCTACTTGATTCATGAGTTTGGAGAGCATAAGTTCAGATAGCAGGAAACTAAGTCAGGACTTTGAAGACTTTGATCCAGCATTTTGTGTCATCCAGATTTGCTAATGAAGAGTCTAATGCACATGTTATCTTTGTACCTAATGATTGTATTTTTCTCCCCTCCCTTTGGAAACTTCTACAATTTTCTCTTTCTTCTTGGAGTTCTGAAACTTCACTGTGCTATGCCTCGGTGTGGGTCTTTTTCATTCATTACATTTGACACTCTGTTGGCCTTCTAATCTACAGACAAAGTTCTGGGGATAGCTTCTAATGTTATTTCGTTTTAATAATCCCTCCCACTCCCTTAAAAACGTTTTTTCCACATTGTAAACACCGATAGTCTGATATTAGACCCCTACATTTACTTTCTGTGGCTTTTGCCTTTTCTCTCACTTGCTGTCTCTTTGAGGGTCTACTTTCTTTTTTTTTTTTTTTTTTTAATTTTTTTTTCAACGTTTATTTTATTTTTGGGACAGAGAGAGACAGAGCATGAATGGGGGAGGGGCAGAGAGAGAGGGAGACACAGAATTGGAAACAGGCTCCAGGCTCCGAGCCATCAGCCCAGAGCCCGATGTGGGGCTCGAACTCACGGACCGCAGATCGTGACCTGGCTGAAGTCGGACGCTTAACCGACTGCGCCACCCAGGCGCCCCTGAGGGTCTACTTTCAAAGACATTTCCTCATCTCCATCTTCCAACCCTATTAATTACTTAAAAAAAATTTTTTTTAAATGTTTTTATTTATTTTTGAGACAGAGAGAGACAGAGCATGAGCAGGGGAGGGGCAGAGAGAGGGGGAAACACAGAAACCGAAGCAGGCTCCAGGCTCCGAGCTGTCGGCACACAGCCCGATGCGGGGCTCGAACTCACCAACCGTGAGATCATGACCTGAGCCGAAGTCAGATGCCCAACTGACTGAGCCACTCGGGCACCCCTCTATTAATTACTTTTAAATTTTAAATATTTTTGAAAGCTTATACTGTTTTGATAACTGTTTCATTTCCTGTTGTGTTATACATGCAAGGTCTCTTGCATTTCTACTTACATAGTCAGCACTCTCTCAAATCCTAAGTATCTTAGAAATATGGTTTTTCATTTTTATATAGTGCTTGCTCCATCAAAAGATCAAAATGTACCAAAGATTTTAAGCAGCATGAGGCATTATCAAATCTGTGTTTTCTCTGGTCATCCTAGAAACAGTGGGAAGAACAAACTGGAGAGACAGGGTCTGTAATCTAGGTGAGAAATGATGAAACTCTTATTTAAGGCGATAGTGGTGGGGTAAAGGCAAAAGAACAGAAGACAGATTTTAGGAGGTGGAATGGCAAAGGATTTGGTGATCGACTGGTTAGGGGAAAAGAATAAAGTCCAGAATTAACCACCGGGTTATGGTTTGAACAACAGCAAGAAGAGCTGAATTTTTCCAAATAAGAATTATCTATTTTGAATATGTTTTTTAAATTTTTTTAAATGTTTATTATTTGAAAGAGAGAGAGAGAGACGGAGACAGAGACAGAGACAGAGAACAAGCAGCGGAAGGGCAGAGAGAAAGGGAGATACAGAATCGGAAGCAGGCTCCCGGCTCTGAGCGGCCAGCACAGAGCCCAACATGGGGTCCGAACCCACAGACCGCAGTGGCCGCAGTCGGCCGCCCAACCGACTGAGCCACCCAGACGCCATTTTGAATATGTTTAAGAGTGACTTAACTATGCGTATTGTTCAGTCTCAAGTGAGTTAAGCAAGATCATACCTAAATAGAAGTTGCATTGTTCTATGGAATAAAAAGTTCCCCCACTGCTACTTGCAGAGATAAGTCACTATTAACATTTAAAGAGAAATGTAAAAGGTTCTAAAGTAATGCTTGTATTTTTCAAGCATATTTTTAGTTCAAAAGATAAAAACGTTCTAAAATATTTTTATAAATATTTTTATCCATAAAAAGACATTTTTATTTTTAATTAAACGTAAGAACATACTAAACCTTTAGAGTGACCAGCTTTTTATTAGGATACCTTGGAAAAATACGTAGAAAGATGAAAAAATTAGCAGTAAACAAAAATTCACGTTTAAATTAGATTATGGTGGTGTCCCCCTTTAAGCTCTGGCGGCCAACTCTTGCCCCCACTCCCCATGGGCTCTTATGTTTAAAAATATGGATAAAGCACTATGAAAGAAAATTTTATCACAAAATAATAGACTACTTTGAAATAAAAAAGTCATTCTGCTATTATACTTTCATTGTTGTATTTCCACGGACCCAAAATGAATTTTGCAAGATAATTTCTTTTTCCTCAATGAAATACCTGCTTACTATTTAACCATTTTAAAATATAGATGCAAATATTTACTAAATATATATTTTTAAATAGATGCAAATCACTTTATTTCTAAAAAAGCTTAGTACTATTTAGAATCATTAGAATATTTACATTTAAATACTCCAACATAATCTATGTGTATTAAGCAAGTAGGAGCTCTGACAGAAAACAGTCTGATTTGGTTTTATAAATAATGAAGATGATTTAAAATGTAAAAAACTGAGCTTACAAAATATAGCTCAAACCACCTGATTTTTTAAAGTCATATCAGCCATCTACTTCTAAAAAGTCCTTATCAAAGCTATTTCTTAAACCCAACATTTACTAACTCAACAGATGGGTTTTAAAAATGAGGAATGTAATTTTACTTTCAACTCACTGATTATATACTCAACTGGCAGCTTTAAAAAAAATAATTTTAGAATACATGAAGACCTGAATTAAACCATTTTCAGCGTTTTTCCAGGATTGTTTGCTAACTGGCTTGTTTTTACATATGAGCTTTAAACAGATCTATCACAGGTAGAACACAAAGATAATTACTTGCGACTATAAAACCTTTCAAGGAAGCTCCCAACATCACATCACTGCTTCTTCCTTTTCTTGTAAGAATCATTACTGTGAACTCGAACTCGCTGGTACACAGAGGATGCTATTTTCATGCTGTCTTTCTTTGTAAATGTCTTGTCTAATGCTCCAGGTTTCCAAAGTAACAACTGTGCATCTTCCCCTCCGGTTAGCAAAGAATCATCCTGCATATTCCAACAGAAAGAACGGACTGTAGCAGCATGCCCTCCGTGAAGGCTGGTCACATGAATCAATCCTGCTGTAGTACAGCTCAGTAAGTGAATAATTCCTGTGTTTGTTCCCCCAACAACAAACAATTTGTCCATTTTTTCGTGATACAGGCCACCAACCAAATAGTCCAAAATGCCTCCTTTCACATTAATTACTTCTCTGACATCCTGGATGTTCAAACGTGTAATTGGTTCATCAGTATCCAGATGATTAAGATCCCACCAACAAAATCCTTCATCGTGCGTCATGCAATAAATCTGTTTATAGTCCTTCCCAGACCAACCAATACAGCTTACGGAAGAAACAGAGTTACAGGTCATAACCAGTGCATCTTCTTCATTATCAATACTAATATCAAATACATTCACCAGGCCATCAGTTGAACCAGAGACCACCATGTTGGGATTGCTGGGATGGAAGCGTACTTGAGTGACATCATCACTGTGTGTCTCTGAATATGCTCCAAGTGGGTCTTTAGAAGTAGACAAATCCTGAGAATTAATTCTTGCATCCCAAAATACCAGCAATGCATCATCATCAACTTTTTCTGTACCAGCGCAAATGACGTGATCATTACAGCTGATATCAAAACTAATGAAAATATTGGAAGGGTAACCCTGGAACAGCTGGACAGGTTTTTCACTGGCTAATCGAGCATCCCAACATTTTACAGTGCCGTCAGTACATGATGAATATATATTGTCACAAGAATTTGCAAATTTGACTCCATTGAGAAGTCCAGGATAGCCACGAAATTCTCGTAGTATGTATAACCTCTCTTTATCATAGATTCTGATTGATCCGTTAGAACATAAAACAGCGATCAAGCTTTCTTTTTCTGCTTGTACAGTTTTTGATGCATCTATACCCAGCAGGTAAGTAGGCTCTGTAGTCCCCGAGGAACGTTTAACAATGTTCAGGTTAGCGAATTGTTCCTCAATCCTCTCCATGTCAGGAGGAGCATTCAAAGTGCAGTACAAATCTGTAAGAAAAATACAAAGAATTAAAATTAAACCCAAAGCTTCTCAAAATTATGATTAAATCAAGAACATTTCCCTTTTAGGGCTGGCACAAAACAAAAGAAAAAAAAATAAAATCTATTCTAATATTTTAATCTTTCCCTGCCATGATATGGCTAAAACTTAGTTGCCTCCTTCTGATTCAATCGGTCTTGAATACTGAATCTACCATATATGCTTTATGCCAGTAAGAGAATTTTACAACATATATATGTGTTGCTCAGCAGTTCCTTTCAGCTTAAACTCAATTATTGGTCATACTCCTAATTCTCAGCATTCTCCACTTTGGGATCATCTTCTCCTGGCCCTAGCTGCCTTAGTGTAACTTTTAGAATTTAAATCTAGTTGTGAACGCAGAAAAGTGGTCCTCCAAAGATGTCTAAGCCTTCATCCCTGGAACCTGTGAATGTTAGAGGTTTCCTGGCAAAGAGGAATTGAGGCAGCTAATCAGCTGACCTTTAAAAAAAACTTTTTTAAATTAGTGAAGTATAATTGGCACACAATGTTACATTAATTTCAGGTGTACAACACAGTGACTCACAAGTCTGTATCTTATGCTCACCCCAAGTGTAGCTACCATCTGTCACCATACATTGTTACAATACCACGGACTATATATATTCCCCATGCTTTTTTACCTCTGTCACTTACTCATTCCATAAGTGGAAGCCTTTATCTCCCACTCCCCTCTATCCATGTTGCCTACCTCTCTCCACCGCTCCCCTCTGGCAACCATCAGTTTGTTCTGTGTATTTATGATCTGTTTCTGCTTTTTGTTTTTAAAATTCCACATATACGTGAAATCATATGGTATTTGTCTTTCTCTGTTGGACCTATTTCACTTAGCATAATAGCCCCTGGATCCATCCATGTTGTCATGAATGACAAGATCTCATTCCCTTTTTTGTAGCTCGGTAGTATTGTAAATGATGCTGCAACAAACACAGGGGAGCATGTATCTTTTTAAATGAGGGTTTTCATTTTCTTTGGGTAAATACCCAGTAGTAGAATTATTGGGTCATTTGGTATTCCTATTTTACATTTTTAAAGGAACCTCCATACTGTCTTGTACAGTGGCTGCACCAGTTTCATTCCCCCCGATAGTAGTATGTGAGGGAGACACGTGGGTGATTCAGTCGGTTGAGTGCCTGACTCTTGATTTCAGCTCAGGTTATGATCCCAGGTTTTGGGATCAAGCCCCAAGCTGGGCTCTGTGCAGAGTGTGGAGCCTGCTTAAAATTCTCTCTCTCCTCTCACCTCTCTTCTCTCTGTCCCTCCTCCCCTGCCTGCACACACTATCTCTATTTAAAAAATAAATTAAAAAAAAAAAGCGCATGAGGGTTTCTTTTTCTCCACGTCCTTACCAACACTTGTTATTTCATGTCTTTTTGACTCTAGCCATTCTGACAGGTGTAAGGTGATATCTCGTTGTGGTTTTGATTTGCATTTCCCGGTGATTAGTGATGTTGAGCATCATTTCCTGTATTCATTTGCCATCTGTACGTCTTCTTTGCAAAAATGCCTATTCAGATCTTCTGCTCATTTCATTTGGATTATTTGGCTTCTGTGCTGAGTTGTGCTTATAGCTGATCTTATAATAGGGAGATTATTCTGGATTAGCTGGGTGGAGCCAATGTAATCACTAGTGTTTTGGTTTTTTTTTAATTTTTTTTTAATGCTCATTTTTAAGTGAGAGAGACAGAGCAAGAGCTGGGGAGGGGCAGAGGGAGAGGGAGACACAGAATCCGAAGCAGCTCCAGGCTCTGAGCTGTCAGCACAGAGCCCAACGTGGGGCTCAAACCCACAAACTGTGAGATCATGACCTGAGCCAAAGATGGACACTTAACCGCCTGAGCCACTCAGGCTCCCCACCAGTGTTCTTAAAAGTAGAAGGAGCCACCTGGATGGCCCAGGTGGTTGAGTGTCCCACTCTTGATTTCAGCTCAGGAAATGATTCCAGGGTTGTGGGATCAAGCTCCATGTCGGGCTCCATGCTGAGCATGGAGCCTGCGTAAAATTCTCTCTCTCTCTCTCTCTCTCTCTCTCTCTCTCTCTCTCTCTCTCTCTCCCCCCCTCCCCCGCCCACTCTAAAATTAAAAACAAAAAAAAGTAAATGGAGGAGGCAGAACATGATGAGAATCAGAGATAGGTGTTGCTACGTTACAGCTACAGAAAGATACATTGCTGGTTTGGGTGAAGAAGGTCAAGAAGTGGCTGGACCCAGGGTGCCTGGTTGGCTCACTCAGTTAAGCATCCAACTCTTGGTTTCAGCTCAGGTCACGATCTCACGGTTTGTGAGATGGCGCCCTGAGTAGGGCTCTGCACTGACGGTACAGAACCTGTCTGGGAGTCTCTGCCCCACTGCTGCTCTCTCCCCCTCAAAATAAATAAACATTTACAAAAAAATTAGTGGGCGGCCTCTAGAACCTAGAAAAGGCCAAGACTTGTTCCCCTTTAGAGCCTCCAGATGGAAATGCAGCCCTGGCTAACACCACCATTTTCACCCAGTGAAATCTAATTTGGGTTTCTGAACCCCGGAATTATAATATAATAAACTTGTGTTGTTTCAAGCCACCAAGTTTGTAGTAACCTGTTACAGCAACAATAGGAAACAATACAACAGGGGTTCCCAGTATGAAATTCTGGAGAAGTACTTCTCAGGCTGTAGTAGCTTGTAAATGGTGGAGCTGGAATGTGGACCTAGGCACTCTGTCCAAGGACTGTGCTCTTCATGACCACGCTAGATTGTCTATTTTTTTCTTTCCTTCTCTTTCTTTCTTTCTTTCTTTCTTTCTTTCTTTCTTTCTTTCTTTCTTAATGTTTACTTTTGAGAGAGAGAGACAGAACGAGAGCAGGGGAGGGACAGAAAGAGAGAGAGAGAGAGAGAGAGAGGGAGACACAGAATCCAAAGCAGGCTCCAGGCTCTGAGCTATCAGCACAGAGCCTGATGCAGGGCTCAAACCCACAAACTGTGAGATCTTGACCTGAGCTGAAACCAAGAGTCAGCTAGCTGTTCAATGGACTGAGCCACTCAAACACTGCTATTTTTTTATTTTAGAGAGAGACAGAGTGCACAAGCAGGGAAGACAGGCAGAGGGGGAAGGGAGAGAGAGAGAGAGAATTTTAATTTTAAGCAGGCTCCATGCTCAGCACAGAGCCCAAAACAGGGTTCAATCCCATGACCCTGGGATCATGATCTAAGCCAAAATCATGAGTCAGATGCTCAACCAACTGAGCCACCCAGGTGTCCTAGGTTGATGAGAATTTTAAATAACCAAGTTTATCATGCCTTTTAGCTAACAGTAATTTGTAGGACTATGACCATGCTCTCAAGCAGAACAGTAGTGCTGTACTCCTTCCCTCCAGTACATTGCCTGGAGAGTCTGTTTCACATTGGAAAAGTTCCCTGTGTGGCTTTAATTCAACGGATTCTGGGGGTTGATGGGACAGGCAGAGCGGGCCCCAGATTAAATACTACAGCGAACTTAACACTTTAAGACTGTAGCAATGATAATAATCACAGTGGTTGTCCACATGATACACTGTTCAAATAAGGATAGAAGGAAGGAAGGAATGGAGGGAGGGAGAGAGGGAGGGAGGAAGGAAAGAAGGAAGGAAGAGGAAGAAAGGAAGAAAAAGGGAGGGAGGAGAAGGAAGAAGAAAGATATTAGAAGTAAGGTAGGTATATCTTACAACAATCTCAAACTATAGAGCTTATATTCATTCACAGATACAAACAGTAAAATAATTCAATCTCTTATGGGGAAACATGAAAACCTCTACTTATGTTTTAACACATTCATATGCAAGTGAATCATATTTGAAATATAACCTTCCAAGGCTAGGTAGTTAATTCTTAATTTTACATACGAATGAATCATTCTAAGATGATATATACTTTTTCTTCTACGTATAGCCCTTATCTGAGGTTTCTTGGCATGACCCACTTCCCAGTCCTGAAGAGAAGCCATAGGATCTCTTTTCTTCCCACTCTATACTCTCGCTGGGTAACTTCTGTCATATTCACATTTCAAGCACCACTACATGTTAATGATCTCATCTATTTACAAATCTATATTTCTGTCTACTGGCCATTTCTCCTTACTGTATCCCACTACACCCCAAAATAAAGTGATTATTTATGCCCCCCCCCCAACCCCACCAAGCCTTCCCCTTAAAAACAAACACAATGTACACTTCACAATTGTCTCCACTTTGGTCGACGGTATTAACAGCATGACAGCATTCTCATCTACTCAGTTAAGCCAGAACCTCTGCGATATCTAATTCTCATTGCTCAGGCCTCTCATCCAAACAATTTCCAAATCCTACTTTTGGGCTGCAGGATGCTTAGTGAAGTATTAAGTTAAATCTATTTCTGTAGATCAAAACAATATTGACAACCTCATATGATTCAATCTAACAAAAACATATGAAAAGAACACACAAGATTAACCATAATTTTTCTCTATTTGTTTCTGTTAGATGCATAAAAGGAAGATTAGCATTCTAGATTTCAACAGGCTAGTGACAGCCGCGTGAGCCTTTCTTATGTCAACATATATACACACACACACCCAAGTGGAAAGGGGTGCAAAAAGAAGGGGACAGACAAGAGTACTAAAGAATACGGAGGAGAAAAGAAATGAAAATAAGCCACAAGGGAACAACAGAAAAAGGAATGTACAAAAAAGGCGGGGGAAGGGGGGAGATACTGCCCCAGCTCTGGAGTCATACACAGGTGAGGTGAGACAATCTAAGAAGAGATCCAGATAATGGAAGTTTAGTAAAGTCTAAAGCTATGCGTGGCTAAAAAGAAGTTTTCTTCATTTTACAAAGATTGCCTGTTACAGTTAGCTAGCAATCATAGCCACTTTAAATATGGGCCTAAGGATGCTGAGAACGGAGGTAGAACAATTACTAATATCTCATCTTGAACCACCTAGTGCAGATCAGGAAACGG